GCATAACTACAAACAAACAATCAGTCCTTTTCTCTTGTATCAAATAAAATTTTCACGGTTTGTTTTTGGTGTTCATCTTCAGACTTATAATTTATAGTATATCAGAAGATTCAATGATGATATCTCTGTCTAAGTCAGCGTATTATTCATTATTATGTAACCATAGTTTGTTGATAGTATCACTCATATGTAAAAATATGGCTTCAGTTGCTACACGATCCAATATGTAACCATGGCAGTCACATTCTCTATGTTTTAGTACCTTGGAAACCACCCACAGCTAATTCATTAAATTTGAGCAGGAATTAGATGGACAAGTTTTGAAAACTTTTCTACCAGACTCCGCAAAATTTTTGAAATGTTTTGTGAAACCTAAAACTCCATTTGGCCAAATGATTTATCCTTATAAAACAATCGTCATCTTTTATAAGGTTTTCTTATCCTTTTTGAATGAATGAAATTGTTAAAGTCCTACAGTTTAATGAATATTTTCTTTCGCTACTGGTAACTTAGAGTTCCAAATTATCCATGTTTAGGAAACCATGGGTAGTAGCTGTACTCGTATTAAAAATTACTATAAAACAGGTCTGGCCTTAATGATAAGTAAAATAGGCGGCTGCCTAGAGCGCCAAATTCTTGGGGGCTCCAGCCTTAATTTTTCATTGCCGCCCCTGCTATAAAAGGAAGATTAGAGGACCCAGATGACATGTTTGCCATTGACAAAACAAAATTTGAAGCACGATGTAATTAATAAAAGAAAAACCCTTTGCTTTTCAACACGAACCTTGTCCTTCCTGTCAGAGGGATGTGATATCCTACCTCACTGTTGTTTATTTGGTAATTATTCAAAGAGTCTAAAGTTATGATCCATATAACAAAAGTATTATCATCACCAGAACCTCTATAGGAGTCTTTCGGACCAATTTTCTGTAGTCGAGCCTTTATAAAATCAATTATTCATTGCAAAAGCTTTGCTTGAGGAAACCAAATAACACACATTACTGGTTCATGAAGTGAAAATCGGTTCTCATTAAATTTACAAACCCCGTACAGTTTGAAGACCGCTTCTTCATGGTCTAAACATTCGAATTTTCCATAGTCTAACGTTAACCGTCATCCGGTTAACATAACACTGGGTATAACTATAAACATAGAAGATGAATACATACAAATCCGGTTAAAATACACCCTAAATATGGAAGATATCAGACTCGGAACTAACTAGTAATATTTAGTAACAAAATCGATCATGCTGAAGTCGCAGATCAGCTGAAAATGAAGAAAGATTAAATAATAATAAAAAAGTTAACCACTTTTGAAAAGTATGAAGTTGTTATTTATTGGCTGAAATACTCATAGAAAATGTCATAAAAATTTTCGGGGAGATCTGGGGAAAATCTTTTAGATCTTGACCACCTAAATCTTGCTCAAAGTCAGAGAATAGTCTGTGAATGATTTCCAGACTTCTAAAACATCTAGAGGTTGGTGGGTGATTCGCTCTAATAACCCTCTCTGGGTTATTTAACAAATGAAGCCATAGAGTTATAAATGAATATTGGAAATTCTTGAATAAGGTTATTTCAAAACCAAATCCATTAGAAAAATCTAAACATTTATTTACCCAGACAAAGACGCCATTTTCGTCTCTTCTGATACCCTACTGTATGACATGTGTCAGGATGAACACAAAAGATAAACCCAGCGTCTAATTGATGATCGGTAAAAAAAATAAAATTTGTTTATATTAGTTTGGCTATTTATGCTCAAGAACTGAAAGCTGATTTGATGAGACACTGAGAAAATCCAGTCTGATTGAACAGAAGTGCAATCCATCAAGACTGTTTCATCATATCAGAAAATATTTAGATGTGCGAATGTAAATATTTTTTAATTAATGCATAATCTTAGGATATGAAAAGCATCATGATTTAACTCCAGAAGATTGCCTCCGCAGGAAGTCATCAGTTTACTACTACGCTCAGTGTAATAGACTATCTTAGGTCATAGGTCATTCAGGTGAAAGGTCAAATATCTATTCTAACGACGTTACGACTAAAGATATATATGTATATATTCGTGATACTAAGTAAAATCGTACTTGCCATTACTACCTACAATGTACATGCTATAAATTCAGATAAAATGTACCAGTGTAGATAAACCAAGTATAAATACACTTCAGTGAAACAATTTTGATTGTAGTGTAATTGAATTAACAATCTTGAAGTGTGTATACACTCTAATCTGACTATAATTAATCTACAGAATAATTAAAATAAATTTAGTGTGAGTGAAACTAGAATAAATAAACCGAAATATTCTGTTTAAAAGTGATTGTAGTGTGCCATAGCTAAAAAAGTTACTTATTTTGCCTTTCTATAATTTAGATTAGAATATATCTTTATTCGGGTATATTCAGATACTTTTCTAAATTTCCATGCAGTGTTCCGCAAGTAGGTATGATATTCATATATACCGGATGTTACACAGGTAAATATTACAAACCACAACTGAAGTCTTAAGTTAGCATTTAGGCGTTTCTGCATGGACCTTCCACGAAGGTAGCTTTTTCAAACAGGTGATACGGAAACCTGTACAAACTAACTTGGTGTGGTTTGGATTATCTGTGTACACATGTAGTTGAAGCATGTAAGATACTTGAACGACTTGTAGGATACATCACTAAAGCTTCTACCTGGCCATAAAAGTTGGGTATCCTCACAAGCCTCTCTTTCTTTAATGAAGTTGTAGGGTGATACATACTTCTTCCAAGTAACAGGGATTACGACTAAGTTCGAGAGCTGGGCGCAGGGTGGCGCCAGCTTCTTCCTGGTAAAGGAGCTGACGTGAGATAGACCTAAAAATCTTGTGGGCATATATACTGTAGTATTTAGTAAAAGTAACCACTTTTCATCGGGTGTGGGAGGTACAGGAGAGGCTAAGGCACATTTTGGGGTAGTTGCAGCCCCAGCAAGCTTCTTCCCTTTACCACCGCCCCTGATTGGGAGAATAATGAGTGTCAGTTGGACGACTTGTCATAGAAAGTTACCGCAAGATTCATAATTCTCTTTAAAGACCTAACTGACCAAATCCACTAAACACCTCATAAACCGTCAAGCATTTTGTCTTTTCAGGCCTTCTCTTGTTCAGGTTTTTTGACCTACAGGAAGACGACCAGGCAAAGAATGATAACATTAATGAGTTTTTACATTGTAATTATATCTTCAAAACTTGTTGTTATAGTAACAACGTGGATTGGTGGAATAAATGTGCTATGGTCTCGGTCTTCTATGACTCGGTGCTTTTGGTCGTTTCACGAGCGTGGGGGCGTCTGGTCTCCCTTGTGATGTTGATGGAAAGCTCGCACCATGTTATAGTGCGCCAGAATAAAAGAAAAAATGAAGAACCAAATATGTGAATGAAGAGGGACAAGTTCATCTCTGACCGCCAACTAGGGCACCCTCACACACTGTATACCTGACATGGAACAACAACAACGAGTCTGGGTTTCTTTTCTATTAGAATGACTCCTCTTCACTCTAACAACTAAGAAAAGTTACCATGGAAACAAAGAAGCCGGCAAGTGATTCGTGAATAAAGATATTAATTTACTTATTCACTTTTTGTTTCTTTGCTGTTGGTGCTCATTAAACTTATCTGCTGGGCAGTAGTATACCTGAATAATACGAAATCACCTGGATAAAAGTGATTGTAAAATAAATACAACCAAAATAGTCTAGCTGAAAGTGACTGTAGAATACTGGAAGTGGCAGTAGTATAAACACAACTAAAATAGTCTAGCTGAAAGTGACTTTAGAATATTAAAAGTGGCAGTAGTATAACTACAACCAAAATAGTCTAGCTGAAAGTAATTATAGAATACTAGAAGTGGCAATAGTATAAATACAACCAAAATATCACTTTCAGCTAGACAGTTTATACTACTGCCACTTCTAGTATTCTACTATTTTGGTTGTATCACTTTCAGCTAGACTTTATACTACTGCCACTTCTAGTATTCTACTACAACCAAAATAGTCTAGCTGAAAGTGATTATAGAATACTAGAAGTGGCAGTAGTATAAACACAACCAAAATAGTCTAGCTGAAAGTGATTATAGAATACTAGAAGTGGCAATAGTATAAATACAAAGTAGTTTGTTTGAAAGTGTTTGCAGAGTACTGAAAGTGACAGTAGTATGACTAAAATTGAAATTGTCTGGCCGTAAGTGAGAGTGTCAATAAGTAATATAGGATGTATTATCTCAACTCATGTATACAGAAGCTCAGATCGTGTGTTTTAAGTTAACTAAAAGTGATATTTAAGAAAACCTGAATACCTTAGACTGAGTTGAACTGTGGTAGGATATAATATAAAAAACTTAATAAGTATACTTTAAAAGCTACTACACGGCAATGATCGCAAGCCAATTAAAGTTTCTGAACAATTTTGGGATAATTTCAACTCCTTAACCACCTCCGTTTTTACAGTATGCACCTGACTGTTACCAAAGTAACGTACACTGACCCTAAAAGAACACATGGAAATACAAGGTAGAATTTAAAAACATTTCTGGTTGTGTCTCATATGAATATTAATTTCTCCAGTTTTGCGCCTGATCTTATAATCTAATCCTCAGAAAGCGTTCCCTGCCTTTGTTTGGGTCTAAGAAATGATTTCGTTAAAAAACAGGTACATAAAAAGAGTTCTCATCACCAGCTACCTTTCTCCCGGTATCTAATTCCTCACGATGGACACAGTGTAAAAAGATTATTGTATAGCAACAACCTAACGATCAAAACTGAATATCGTGACACGTAACAATAAGGATTCTAAGATTCGGCGTAGTAAGAAATTCAAACGATACAAACCCTCTGATTGCTTCAACCAGGATGAACTGCTGGCTTGTCGATTGTAAGCAGCCAGTAAAGACAGTTCTCTCAATATTATTATGAGTAAGACGATGATAACAAGACACCACATAATACGGGTAGATAACATGACAAGAAACCTCATACTTAACTATGTTATGCTATAAAGTCATCTTGGGGTTTATGGAAAATCTATAAGGTAACTGTATCAGTAGCACGGCATTAGATCACGTGCTGTTTGGCGAGGCTGACATGCACTGAACAAGGGAACAGGTGGTAAAATGATGCCACGTATAAAGATACATGAAAAAAGTATATATAAAAATAGACATACAGACACGTGTATTTTATATCAAACAATGTGATATTCTGTTTCCAGTATAAGAGCAATGTAGGAATATCAACATGGTTAAAGATGATGATTTTTTTTGTAAGTTGAAAAATTATTTCATATTCATCCCTTTATTCAAAAATTCCAATTTTCAAAGCAACCTTTAAAAGATGAAAGTCAAAAACCATAGAGAAATCTATTACAGCATCAAAATACTCCCATCCAATAAATTGAAATCATGATAATCAACGTAGAAAATGAAACAAATAATGTTAGAGACGACTATTTTATTCCACTTGAATATTGACCGATCGTGGCAAAATGGTTAGCGTTCTGGGCTGCGAATCACAAGGTCCAGTGTTCGAACTCGTAATATATCGCTGAACATTCTTTGTACTTTCAGCAGTGAGCGCGTTATAAACGTGACAGTCCATCCCATTATTCGGTTAAGAGTAGCCGAATAGGTGGCAGTTATTACTAATTGATTGCCCTTCCTCTGGTCAGCACTTAAAAATAATGACAGCTATGTATGAACCTCGGACTTCTGATCTAGTCGTTTAGCTTATGCGTTGCACCTCTCAAATACTGCTGACTCAATAAATTATACCGAATCTGGCAATAAAAACACACCCGAATTAAAATCTTGTTGATTAAAATTACACCCCGAATTAAAATATTGTTCCTCGTTTGTATTTGTGTTGTCTGATACATATCATCTTTCATTTCAGTTTGTATTTGTGTTGTCACATACATATTTTTATTTCAGTTTGTATTTGTGTTGTCTCATACATATCATTTTTATTTCAGTTTGTATTTGTGTTGTCTCATACATATCATCTTTATTTCAGTTTGTATTTGTGTTGTCTGATACATATCATCTTTATTTCAGTTTGTATTTGTGTTGTCTGATACATATCATCTTTATTTCAGTTTGTATTTGTGTTGTCTGATACATAACATCTTTATTTCAGTTTGTATTTGTGTTGTCTGATACATATCATCTTTATTTCAGTTTGTATTTGTGTTGGGTTTTAAGTTAAATGTTTTCCTATTTGAATAAAAATCTCAATAAAACACTATTGATAAAGAATCAATGACACTTATTTACAAAAGGAATAACCAAATTAACATTTAAACGACAATCAAAAATTGATCTGACTGAGCTAGTCTAGTTAATAATTCAACGTCCTCAACCTCACTACGATCTATTCGTACAGCGATCGGAGATTAGCGGAAAATAACGAGTGGATTATTCGGGTTAAAGTTAATCATAAATAGCAAGTTTTTGAACTGGGATACCTATTAGGCCTAACTATTAACAGTACACTAATCTTAATCACAAAAAAGTCAAATGCACCAATAAAAAGAAGTACTTATTTCAAAGAGTTATACTTTTGCCCTGTCATTCCAAACTGTATTACAGACAATTAATTTTTACTTAAGTTCCGACTTCTCTACATTATCCCACAATATCACATTTCAATGCTTTCTGACTTTCTCGCTTTATAACGACCTTTCCAGAATGACGTCATGACATCACGTGATCACGTTGTTTATTCGCACTGTCTACCATGTTGAATGACAATACTCGTATATTCAAAGCAGTGAAAAGCATGAAAATGCCTTTCCACGGTTGCTCTTTTGGTTGTACCAAAATATAGAATTCAGAACCAGGTATATCTTTTTACAGATTCCCAGCTGACTCAAAAAAATCAATATGACCTGTTGCAGTTAAGAGACAAAACTGGCGACCTTCACAATATTCCCATATCTGCATTGCATATTTTGTGAAAGTATCAGGATAAATATTGTTACGTCTCCGTTTGTTAATTAACTTTCCGTAACTTCGTTCCGACAAAACTTTAGCGACACAAGTTCTTTACTTAATAAAACTGATTTATTCTTTCCGAATACAACTTTACCGATACACTCAATTTCAACAATCGCGCTAAACAAACGCTATAACAACGAACGTGCTCAATAATACTTCTAACTGCAGATCAATTACTCACTATCTACACACACATTACCTTATTCTCGCGTCACGTTGTCCCCTCTTATATATACCCGCCTACCCTATCTAGTAAATACTAGAGTATTCGTGAAAAAACAAGATAGTTCTAGAAAATAGAGGGCGCCACACCAGTCACGTGACCTCGATGACACAACACTGCCCCTCCTTAATATTGTTCGTCCCGAACAATAACCACATACAATAAACCAATAACAATTAACAATAACTTAATTAACTGTACAGAATTACAAAAACAAAATTACAATTCAACAAAGTCTCTTAATTTTACGGGACGTATCTTCTTCCGTACTGGTCTCCGTCTCATTGGCTTCTGCTTCATGTGGGGCTCATCCGCTTCATCAGTAAATGTCCCATCATCGGTAACAGTCACATCAGTGGTAGTAACTTCACCAAGAGCTTCACCGTTTCCCTTCTCAAAACCGAGTAGAGTTTCTTCTTC